TAGTTCACGGGCAACTGAGGTTTTGTTCATAAAATCTTTTCCTACACTGATGTCTTCAAGGGTTCTACCTAACCTCTGTTCCAACTGGTTCAGACTAAACTACTCTATTTTCAATAGCTATCATACTGGTCTGATAATGAAATTTATAGTAAAGTGTAAGTGACTAACGAAGACGATGTTTATCTATTTAGTTTGCCATATTGGAGATGGAACCCAGGACTCTCACACTGAACTACACCGCCAGCCCTTTTTTATCTTTCAGACAGGCTCTCCCTAAGTGAAGTTGCCTAGGCTGGCCTTGAACTTGTGATCCTCCTCCCTCAGCTTTCCAGACTTCTGGGATCACAAAAGGGCACCACCACACCTGGCCAAGGGAATGAGTCTTGCCTGGTGGAATTTCAGGCACTCTGGGGCCCAGGAAAAGCCTGACTGAGGGACCGTTTCCCTTATCTCCAGGTAAGAGCCCACTTCCGGTGCAGGTCTGTAGCTCTTGCAGAAGGGCTCTCAGAAGGTCCCCGACCCACCGCTTGGGGGCTGAGGAAAGGGGTGAGGCGATATGCAGACCCACTCACGCATGCCCGTACTGCTCTCTCGGAGCAAGGGGGCTCTGGGGGACCCCGAGGGGACCAGTGGCAGAGCTGGGACCCCAGCGCCCTGTCCGCGGCCCCCAGCGGCCCCTCTCCTATCGGTACCGCTCCTCTCTTGATCCGGGGCCAACCCCGCCGTGACCCCCAAGTCAGCAGAGCCCTCCTCCCACACTGGGTCCCACCCGAGGCCCTGGGGAGCAGCCCTGTCCCCTCAGGCAGGCTCCTGGCCCGGGCAGTCCCCGAAGGCCCGGTTTGCCGAGCACAGGACCCTGCCCGCGGGCTCAGGGCTTACGTGCCGGGTGAAGGCCTCGTGTCCTCCGGCCAGGCCCGCCAGAGCCCCCAGGCCCGCAGGGCTCCCTCCGCCCCCGAGACACTGCCGCTCCAGAGCCGAGCCTCCTCTCCCTCACCGGCAGCTGGAAGACTTCTTTCGCTCCCTGGGGTGTCAGCAGCGCCATGGCCCCCACATCCGGTTGCTAGGAGACCTCGCCAGGACGCCGGAGGTTCTGAAACAGGGGTCGGGTGCCAGCTTTGTTAGGGCGCAGGCTGCTTTGGCCTAAAGGGCCTCTCTCCTCACCACCCTCTCTGTGCCCGGGGCCTGGCCCTGTGTCTGTGCGAGCCAGCCCCCGACCTCCGACCTCCTCAGCCTCCCGATGTGCTGCCCAGCAGTGAGCGGCCTTGGACACCCACCCACACGCACGCACATGCACGCACACGCACGCACACGCGCGCGCGCACGCTTCGCATCCTTCCCAGGCCTCCAAGTCCAGCCTGGCTGTCCGTCCTCCCCGGGTCAGGATCCGTCTCCGGGGCCAGATGTGTCTGCCGCTGTCTGTCCCCCAGAACCGGCCTCCTCTGCTTCCTCACGCCTGGACCCAATGGGATTCTGGATTTTCAACATCATGGTGGTCTTTGGGGGTACAAGGAACAGCTCCACAAGGGCGCCCCCAAGTGCGGCACCGAGCGCCCCGGCCCCGCCGGGTTGAGCAGCCCAGGCTCCATCTCCCACCCGGCTTTGGCCTCCTCCGTGCTGGGAGCTGAGGGGGCCCAAGGCTCCCCGGGGGCAAATCGGCCCCCCCACCCATGTGCAGAGCCCCACGGGGACAGCTGGGGACACGGGTGGCGCTGGCCTTCTCGGAGACGCCCCTCTGACCCCTTTCTCCTTCACGCACACCCCAGTTCCTCACCTGCTGATCAGGCCAGCTCTCCCTCCGGGGCTGCCCGGCTGGCTGCTCGTCCCAGGCTGACATCCCCACCCCGCTCTGCCCTGTGGCTCTGCAGCGCCTCATGTCTCTGCCTAATCACTTTGTGTTCGGCCCATCCCTGAGCCCTGTCACTGCAGGGAGCACTTCGTACCTTGTCACTTTCTCTTAGCTGTCTGATGATTTGTTTCAGAGCCCTCCACCCCCACACACAGCAAGGCCAGCAGCCTTTTATCTGTTTTATCTATGACTTTCATCCACTCCTGTGCAGGACTGGCACCCCGTGGGTGCACGATGTTCATTGGTCAACAGTGACCACATTTGCCAAGGCTCTTAGGAGGACATTACATTTTCTGTGGGTGATCGCTTCCCCTTCGAGCACCCTTGCCCTGCGAGGCTGGGGACAATGCCCTGTTCCAGTGCCCATTGAAGGGCCATAAGTATTTGTGAATTGAAGACTCGGAGGTGTCATGAAGTGATACTGACAGGGGAACTAGCCATGTAGCCTCTCGTGCTGGATGGCAGAGCAGGTATGGGGACCCCGATCCTAACAGGCGGCCGTCCTGACCACTGCGGCAAACCCCAGGCACTGTCTCCTTCGGGCTGGACATCGAGGCCTCCAGACTCCGGAGGACTGAAGTCTCCTTTACCTACCTGCTTGCGTCAGGCTGCAAGATACACGATAGTGTGTGGACTTTGACTGTCCTTGGCTCAGGGAGGATTTGACCATGATGTTTTCCTTTCCATCTGTTATCAGAATCATCATCGATATGGAGTTTGTCATCTTCTTTGTTGTCTCCCCTGGCCCCCTACAAAGACGTAAGCATGGACGCCAGAAATGCAGGCATGGTGTCCCTAAGCATTGAGTCTGGAAGGGTAGAAGACCCTCTCACCCGAGCCTTCGTACCTTAGCTTTCCAGAGAGTGGGATGAAGCTGGAGCAGCCAGAAGGACGTCACTAGTCAGATACCGGAGTCTAGACGTGGACTCAGCCTCTGGCTGGTACCTTTCTGCCCATTTCCTGTTATCGGCCTGATTGTCAGATGTGCGTGTCAACTGGCCATGGTGTCTAGGTATTTATCAGCATCAGGCTAGGTGTTGCTGGGCAGGTGTTCAGAGGCGTGCTTGGCATCTGTAGCCAGTTCACTGTGAGTAGACGGGCTGCTCTCAATATTGAGGGTGAACCTTCTTCAGTCACTTGAAGAACTTGGAGGAAAAAATTCCTGAAAAAGAAGAAATTCTGCCTCAGTGCTGCAGTATCAGCTTCTGCCTGAGTTCCTAGCCTGCTGGCTTGCTGTATGGATTTTGGACTTGCCAGCCCACACAAGCCAATACCCTGAAATAGACAGACAGAGAAAAGCCTATCTATCTATCTATCTATCTGTCCATCTATCATGTCTCATCCTTTTATCATGTCTATCCACCGATCATCCATCCATCCATCCATCCATCCTCCCATCCCACCGGTATAGCCTGCTGAAGAGCCCTGATCATTACACTGCCCTAGGAGGACTTACATGGCCACATCACCTTTTTATTAACGTATGTACAACATATATAACTTAAAGAAAAGACATAAACCTAAAATTATCTAAAAATGGTTTCTACCTACTGATGGTGGCCAAGGAGACATGACATGGAACAGTTGGCAGATGGGCTTGGAGGCTCTGGCCAGGGAGGCTGCTCTTGATCCATCTTGGACCAGGGGCAGAGGCCAGCTGCACCAGAGAGCCCTGGGCCTTGACTTCCGGCGCCACTGCACAGGTGAGTTACTGTGGGTTTCACCTGAGATGACAGAAACAAGCCCTGTCACATAGAGAACACCATCTCTGGGTCTTCCTGGTCTCACAGCTCTGACTTCTTACGGGTGAAGACTGTGGTACTGAGCGTGGCAGAGGGCAGGAGGCAGGACGAGGGATGTTACAGACCAGAGGCTGGTGACCTTTCGCTGCAGTGGAAACACATAAAGACGGTGTCACCTGCTAACCCTGGCGATGGATGTCACATGCCAACCAAGGCAGTTGCCACAGGGAGCACGGTGGGGAGAATCCAGACTGTTGGCAGCGAAGCTCGGGTCGGGGGTGAATTTGTACCAGGGCGGGGCCGTCCGCAGGCACGTTAAGGGGAGAGTGCAGTTCCTGGGGGAGATTGCCTCTGCCTGTGGCCGTCTCCACGCTGACTGAGAGCGCTGCAATTCTACTGCTCATATATTTAAGACAGTTTAAAAAAATGTATGCCAAAATGCCCGTCGAATTTACCATTTAACCACTTTAAGTGCGCCGTTCAGTGGCATTAAGTATGTTCCCGTTATTGTGTAACCATTCCCACCACCCCTCTCTGGAGCGCGCCTCATTTCCCCAAGATGATGCTCTGTACCCCTGGAACACGAAGCCCCCCTTCTCGCTCCTTCACCCCCAGCACCCCCATTCTTCTATGAATTTCATGGTGCTAGCAGCCTCATGTGACTGGGATCAGGCACTAGCAGTCCTTGTCACTGGTTTAGTTTACTAAGTACCAGTTTCCTTCACGTTGCAGTGTTACCGGGTTGGGTTTCTCTCCAGGCTTTGATGTCTTAAGCAAAGGATCAAGCAGGACACCCGAGAGTCACAACAGGATCAATGATTTACTGAAAGGGAAAAGGCAAGATCCACTCCACCACGTGGAGCCAGCCAGCTTCTTGGCAGCCCCAAGAGGGGTTGGTGCTGAGGGTTTGAAGCTTTAGGGTTTGAGGTGGGATTGAGGGGCTTGGGCCTGTGCTGTGACTCCTGCCCACGAGCAGCTTAGCTCAGTCCTTCCTTCAGGCAGTAGAGTTTTTGACCTTTGATGGCCCTTGGAGGAACTGTCATGGTGTCCAAAGCCATGGGGAGGGAAGGGGTCAAATCTGCATGGTGAATGACTTGGTGATTAGGCCTGGTGTTGGCCATGGGCTGCGGAAGACCACTGGGCACTTGCCCCGGAAACTTATTGTGTAGGAGCTCAGCATTACCTGGTTGTTCTTCCCATTGTGTTTAGAACTGGGCATCCTGTCCCTGGGTAATGTTTAACTCAGAAGGTGGATCTGGTCCCAGAAAGCAGGTTCCATGGCCCCAGCCATTTCCTCACGTCTTAGATCTAGCTCAGAAAGCTGGCTGTAGGGTGGGTAGGCCCTCTCTTCTTTCTCCAGCCTTTCACCTAGCTACCTCCTGCCTCAGTAGCATGTGTCAGAATTCTTTTCCTTTTTAAAGGCTGAATAATATTCCACTGTACATACTTATCTCATTTTAAAAATCCATTTGCCAAAGATACTTGGGTCGCTTCCACCCTTAGGCAATTGTGTGCAGGCTTCTATGGACATAATTGTGCAAATGCACAGCACTGCAACTTGAAGTTCTGCAGAGTCAAAAAACCCAACTGCTTCTACACCTCCAACAAAACAGCTTAAGTGGTGACCTCAGCTGAGAGTCGCAGTGGGATAAGTGAACTGTCATCAGGTGAAGGCAGAGGTGGGAATCCACTTCCAGCTTAGCTCTTGTTCCAGATGCGACCTCAATTCCGTGATCAGAATTTAGGTGCTAGGGCTGGAATGGTACAACAGCCAAGGAGCACATTCAGCTTAAGCCCCAAGCATCCCATCCAGGTGAGGGCTTGGCTTCCAGCTGCTCCTTGCGTGGATTAGCTGGCAGCAGTTGGAACCCAAGCGAGCTGAACTTTGAGATCCACATTGCCATCCTAAATCTGACCCGACCTGCACCATTCTGGAGACATCCGCCAGCCTCCCAGACCCCAACTAACAGCAGGGACTGAAGGGGGGAATTTCTGGGGAAGGTCCTTCTCCTGGACATCCTTCTGAGAGGAAGTCAGGGAGAGCAAGGAACCAGAAAGACCTCTGGAGGGGAGAGCAGTGTCAGGCTGAGCTGCAGGGAGACCCTGAAGGGCGACCCAGAGGATGCAGCAGAACCAGCCAGGTTGATGTGAACCATGGAATGTGATCCACCGATCCACTGCTGAGACTGGGAACCCTCACAGTGGTGCTCTGGGGTGTTGGGATCTGTCGCAGCCCCTTGGCTGCCTGGTGTTTCCTGTGGTCCTTTCTTGATGGGGTCTTCCTGTTCTCTGCCTCTTTTGCCACTGCATGTGGGGGCGCTGGGCACAGACTCTTGGCCTTTTCGTGGTTACAGCTCTCTGTCTCCAGGTACCATACAGAGGAGCCATCTGCAGACGGGAAGGGTGTGAACACAATCTTCACCTCGGCATGGCTGGGGGAAGGACTCCTGGAGAGGTGCCTGAATCGTGGAGCACTGCAGTCACCAGTGGAGTAACCCACTGGTGCTGAGTGGGCTAGCAGGAGGTGGCCAGTGGGGGTGGGTTATGGGGGCTGCCTTTGGAGGGTGATCTCTCCTGAGCTCTGCTCCAGGCCACCATGAAAGGGACAGCTTTGCCTTCTGTGCTGTTCCTGGCCTGGAGCCAAACCATGGACTGCGTCCTCTGAAACCATGAGCCACGTAAACCTCTCCTCCTTTAAACTGTGGATGTCAGGGATCTGTCCCAGCTACAGGAAACCTGCCTGTACAGTGGATGTAGCTGGAGAGAGTGGATTGTGATAGATGCTGTTTCTATCTAATATTTATTCTCTCCTGGTCCTTGCCAAATATGACCAACTTTGTTGGAGGCAATAATGTACATAGCTAAAAAACAAACCAACAATAACAATTCCCAGCATTTCAATGTCTTCCTTGCAGATTGAGCTTCTGACATAATCTCTAGATAGCTTCTCCAGGCTTTGGAAAACCCATTTGCCTTTTGTCCCTTTCTTTGTTCCGTTCAGGAATGGATGGAGAGATGATTGCTGGAGCACCAGCAGTCATGTTCCAAGCACATGAATGAGCATCCCATTGCGGGGTCCGTGGGCAGCCAAGGTCAGCTGCATTTGGCATAGGCTGGCTCTCTGGACTCTCCGTGATGAGGGACAAAGAGGAAACCCTCACTGCTGTTCGAGCCTCGGGCTTGGGTTTAGAGTCCCTTGTAGCTGACTCAATCCCTCAGGGCTAGAGGCCTGAATTTCTGAGACCCAGCTGGGTCACATCAGGTCAGGAGGAGGCCAGGCCATAAGGGTCTCTCCTCACAGAGGCAAAGCGATTTGCCAGAATCAGGAAATGGGGGTGTCCAGGCCTCAGCATATCTCTCCTGGCCGCCCCTGTGAGCTGCACGTCCTACTTCCTCTCAGGACCCTGAGAAGGCAACAGCCAGTCAGTCTTCTTGGGGAGGGTTCCAGAGTGGAGGTGGGGTGGGGCGGGAGCAGCGGTGGGTGGCAATCAACCTCATCTGCCACAGCAGCAAGGCCTTTCTGCCCGGGAACAATAGAACTCTGGTGGGAATACTGGGGGTTCCAGAAGCTCCAGATGGGGGGCTGGAGGGGAGAACAGTGTGGGCAACCTGGGTCTGGGCTGGGAGGGCATCAGGGCCCAGGGCTCAGTGTCCAGGGGACTCCCTTGCTGGGCTGTGTAGTAGCCTCAGTGCCTTTCCTCCCCAGAAGGTGCAGAGGTTCCTGTGCACAGGGTCCTCCGGTGCAGGAGTCATCATCAGCTTGGGGCAGGGAAAGGCAGCAGCCCCAGAGGCTCTCTGCCAGATGGGGAGCTGGGCAGCCGGGAGCAGACTCGGAACTAACCAGAGCCTTGGCCCCCAGGTACCCCCAGACACAGGTTGAGGGGTGCTGAGGGTCCCAGCCAGGCTGGGACGGGGTGGAGCTGATTCTCTGAGAGACAGTGGCTCAGGGGTGGCGTCTGTCTACACAGGTTTGGAAGAGCAGCTGCCCAGCACAGGAAAAGCGGGGGACACAAGGGTGGCCCTATATGCCCAAGCCCATGTGAAGAGCTCGGTGTCGCTAAAACCTTTACTATACAGATAAACTGTCCTGGGACAAGGTCATTGACAAGCTGGAAATATGGTCACTGAGCACACCCGGCTGCCGGGCGTCCTGGCCTCAAAACGCGGCTTGATTCCCCTCCTGACCACCGGGCTGACTTCGAGCTTCAGCTTGCTGTTGATGCCCAGCTGTGCTAGTCCAGCAAGAGATCAGATTGCTAAAAGAGTGGTCGCTCATTTACCGCTGTAAAGATGGGGCGTGGGAGGTCAGGGACAGTTCCTCTATCCTGGAGACAGGAGAGAGCTGGCGACCCAAGAGGTGCGGAGGGAAACCAGAGAGCGCAGCATATCAGCCGGGGAAGCATTGTCGTCAGATGCACAATGAGGAGTAGTGTCTGTTGTTCAAGTAACAGGAGTTAGTATCTGTTGAATTAATGAAAGAAAGAAGCCCCTTGGGTGATAGTAATCTTGTCCCCAGAGAGCTGGATCTTGTGATCCCTCCCGTCTCCATGTATTAGGCCAATGGCTTCTTCCAAACCAGGCTCTCTGGACCTCAGTGTAACTGACATTGAGAGCTCGGTTGTTCTTTGTCATGGGGGCTGATGTGCAATGCAGGGTGTTTAGCAACAGCCCTGCCCTCTGCCCACTGGGTGCCGGTAACGGCCCCTTTCCAACAGTGGCAGCCAAAATGTCTCCAACCCCTGTCCTGTGGAAGAGCCCAGCCGGGCCTGGTTGCAACCCTGGTTTGGGGCGGTAGGGATGTCTGTCTGTCTGTCTTTGGCGGGGAGCAGGGGGCAGCCTAGCTATATCTTGTTGGTTATCCTTTGTTTCCTTTCATCTCTCATGGTCATGAACTTGATTAAAGTGTGCATTCATACACAAATACACTGCTCCATCCTGTTGGGAATGTCCTCTCCTCCTGTCCTTCAGGAGTGATGTCCTCCCTCCAGACATGATGGCTTTTGCTGCTTTAGTGTTTTTAGCTCTGGCCGTCAATAACCCTCACTTGGCAGGTTCTACTTTGGGTCCATCACGAGGCTGTCAAACTTGTGTCAGGTAAGAGTTCCCTGTTATGGCCTTGTGTCTTGCCTCTGCTATTTGATGTCAGCTTTTCAGGGTTCTTTTGCATCCCCAGTAGTGGCTCAGGGGCAGCTAGAATAAGAAGGTATTTTACAAACATAGAGCCATCTCTCATCGATTGGCACAACAGCCTCTGAAGCTCGGCATCACAAGTCCTAGGTACATTTTTGAGAGCTTTGAATAACTTCATCAGGTTCTCTGAAGGACAAAGGCCTTTGGCCACGTAATGCATGGACGCAAAGCTATTTACATGTGGTCCTTCTTAGAGGTAGGGTAGCCCTGGGTCCTCATGGCCTGAAGCGCTCCAGGTTTACTCCTGTTGTCCCCAGGTAGCTGACAGTGTCCCAGGCACCCTCCCAAGTGCCCTGGTTTGGTGATAAAATATGTGGTCAACCACTAGGAGGCCACTGGGTCCACTTCCCTTATTTCATAAATGTGCATATCGAGCAAGAGACATTTTCCCTTTCCTTGCAAAATGCTTTTGCACATTCTCCTGAAAAACAAGTACAGCCCCTGTGCACTTGCTCCTATTTTCAGTGGAATGGGCACTGGGGAAATACCAGTGGCCTTGCACACTTTGCAAGCGCTCAACATGTGTGGAGTAAACACCCATGAATCCTCTGTACCTCTCATGGTCTTTGATTTTCATGGAGGATCTGGACGTCACCTGATGTGCTTGCATGGGACCATGCTTGCTGTGATTTATGAAAACCCCTCAGGCAGCCCCAGCTTTCCCAGAGTGGCCTCCACCCATCACCCACATCCATGTACGTCTGATCACGGAGACTGGGGTGCTGTGTGTGTGAGCCGGAAGCACACCTGTGTGATTCATCACAGGACTGATCAGCTCGGGATTGGACAGGCATCCGTCACCTCTCTGCATGTCCTCGGCCACCACAGTGCCCACGGTGGCCCTTCCATCTGCCTGGTTTCCAGGGAGGAAACTGCCTGGCTGAAGGTCACAGCTCACCCCTTCTCCCAGGCAACCCTGCACCTGAATAAGTATAGCTTTTAAAAGAAAGTTTCCTGCCCCCAGGGAGGGCAGATTTGGTAATTTCAGGCCAAAAGTCTCACAAGTGTTGCCAATTTAAGACAAAAAGATGAGTTTAGTGTAAAATGAGTGGGGAGAGGCCTCCAGGATGGGCTGGTGGAGAAAAGGGTTGGTGGACGCCTTCCGCCTCGGCGGGTCCTTCTGACCTCAGGTTCCTGACTTCTGTCCAATGCCGGGTCACGGATCTCCTTTTCTGCCATCTTCAGGACAGTGACAGTCATGACAGTCACCCCCTTTTCCTCGATGTCCCCACTCAGGACTTGGTGTGCCTGCCTGGCATCCGCGGTGGGCTGGCCGTGGCCCCCAGGGAACAGACTGGGGCCCCTGCTGCTTGGAGGCCAAGAGCAGTCTTGGGAGCCCCACGGAGCTAATTCTTCTCTCTGCAGATGGTGTCCCCCTAATCCGCTTGCATTTGTCATAATCCAGCTCTGTTCTGAGGAGCCCACGGGGTGGCGGAGGGTTCTCCGCAAGTGTCCCGCTTGGCACCCGGATGCTGGGGCTGGGACTGCCCAGGGCCTTGAGCCAGGGGGCCACCCTGGCTGCGAGAGAGGCAGTATCCCCCCAGCCTGTCCTGCCTCTGCCAGACATGGCCTGTGCCCAGGGCTCTGGAAGCAGCGCCATGCCCGGCTGCCCCTTGGAGGACGGTGAGTTGGCCGCTGCCTGTCTGGTGGGGTCAGTGTCCCGGGGCAGGGAGTTCCGGCTCTGGGAAATCCCCACAGATGGTGGTGTTGCCTGTGCAGCAGGCTGGCAGGGCTGCAAGGTCGGCCTCTTCCCGCAGCCTGCCCACAGCGGGTCGGGTTGGAACACGGTGCAGCGGGGTTGCAGGTCGCTGCACGCCGATTTATGGGATTTTAACATCGAAGCCCATCTGGTCCTCCCACCTGGACCTGGAGGGCGAACAATGCAGGGGCCGGAGCCAGGGAGGGAGCAAGCCCTCCAGAGGCCACTCCTGGGGCTCCGCAGTGGAAGGCGGGGCCGCCTGGGGCTCTGCAGGCTGGGGACAACTGGGGCGTGATGGGTTTGGGGAGGGGGCAGGTCTGCTTCTCAGAAGTCTCTGAAGAGCCAGGGCAAACGCGGAGTGACAGAATGGGACTCTGGGTCCCTAGAGAGGAGTTTCCCTACCTGCTTCAAGGTTGACATCTGTGCCCTTTCTGCAGCAGAAACTGAGGCTCTGAGAGATGAAGTAGGGAAGGGCCCAAAGCCGAATCGGGTCTGCTTTGTCCATGGTGAGGACCCTCCCTGGTGGTGGGGCAGGGGCTGTCCTGCTGAGGCTCACCGACTAAGGAGCCCAGGTGTGGGGGCCTTGGGGGCTTTGCAGGTCACGGCCAGGGGGCACAGGCCCACTGCAGAGCCTGAGTGCCTCAGTCCTACTCCACCATCCCTCTGCCTCGGCTCTGCGCTCTCCCACTTGGCCACATCCTGTCACTCACCCCTCCCGAGGGTCCCTGCTGCAGAGTGACTGGAAGGGACAAAGGCCACTGCCCCCTGGAGACACAGCCAAGGAGGGGGTTCTGTTGTAGACACCATCCTGAGTGACTGCTGAAGGGCCTGCTTACCTCTTCCAGCTCAGGGGGAGAGACGAGCTACGGCTGTTCTCCGTCTCTGGAAGTTCAGCGTGTGCGTGTAGGTGTGTGTGTGGTGTTCGTGTGCATATGCGTGCATATGCGTGTGATTTGCATATGTATATGCACATGTGGTGTGCTCACATGTGCGCATGTGTTGGATAGAGACAGCGTTGTCTCAGCAGTCGCATGCTTCTCGCAGTGCTGGCCAGCTGTGTGGCACTCCGAGCTCTGGGCCTCGGTGTCCCCCTGGGGATGGAGAGGCAGATTAAGGGGCTCTGGGTTTTCCCCAGGACCATGACCCATGCATGCAGTGTCCAGCAGCTTTCCCACCTCCAAGTTAAATAACCCCAGTCCTCCCAACCTTTCCCTGTAAAACACATTTTCCAAGCCTTTAATCATCTTGGTTATTTTCCTCTGAACTCCCTCCAAGAGTCCTGTGTCACTGGATAAGTATGTCGTATAAATGAGTCAGTAAATCAATCTGTCGGCAACAGCTCTTGAGTAACTGCCTGGCTGCTGGAGGTGCAGGGCTGTTACCATCCAACCCCACAGGAGCAAAAAGGGCTTCCACCCTTCTTCAGACCCAGAGTGCATTTGTCCAGCTGTGACCAGAGGCCCTGGGGATACACTCGGAGGACATCACTCCTTTTAATCCCATCGTTCCCCAGAGACCAGGGCCTTCCCCCAACAGTGGCTTTGGGAAACGTTGCTTGTGCACACCAGCCAGGCACCTGCTCTGTGCAGTCCTGCTGGACACTGTGATAGTGATGACGGCAGGCATGGAGACAGCTGCTATCGGAGGAGGACAAGGGGCACAGGGGACAGAGGGTGAAGGGGCCCACACTGGGAGCCAGCAGCGTCAAGGCTGAGATGGGACGTTGGATGTAAGATGCAGTGTGATCCATGATGAAGTCAGGAAGCCAGTGGAATTCAGAGGGTGGGAGCCAGGCCTTTACTGAGGAGCGATTTCATCACTCTTTAGCCATGTGAGCCTCAGGCAAATCATCTACTCCTTCTGAGCCCTGAATTCTTTTAAGGGACTAGGGGATGACAGTACCCACCAGGAAGGAATTTTTTAACTTAAAATTTTAAAAACACATTATTCATCCATAATAGTGATACAGAAGAGAGGGTTTTGTTAGGTGAATTCAGAGTGCAAACAACAGACTTGGTCATTTCCACTCCCTCCATCCCTCCCTGGCTCTTCCTTCCCCTCCCCGTATAGGGTTTAAGCTCCTAGTATGTCTGGCACACAGTGGGTGACCTGAAGCCACCTCCCCTCCTTTTCGCTTGTGGATCCTAAAATAATATCCTTCCCTCTTGAGGGACAGTTGTTGTAGTTACTTTTCTCGTTGCTGAGACAAAATACCTGACACCCAGAGTTAAAGGAGGAAAAGTTTATTTAGCTCACAATTTATAAAAGTTTCAGTCCATAATCAGCTGACTCCAAGGCAGGATGGATGGCAGAGGAGAAACAGTCCATGGCAGGCAGAAGGCAGCAAAGCAAGCGAGGGGCGACCACAGCTCCTTCTGTCCCTTATATCTTATCCAGGCTACTTAGGGTGGGCAGCACTCACACCTTTAATCCCAGTGCCCTTGATCCTAGCATTGCACCATGAATTGATCCCAGTGTCACACACTCTAGATTCAGCCACCTTTGAAAAAGCCCCACCTACAGCTGCATGAAGCTTTGGGGGACATCTGGACATGAGCCATAGCAACACTCTTTTATATATTATTTTTCTGGTACTGGAGATTGAACCCAGGGCCTTCTCACTGGGGCCTTTTCAAAGTTTTAAATTTTTTGACAGGGTGTCACTGAATTGCTCGGACATATAGGGTAGCCTTGAATTTACTATCCTTCTACTTCAGCCTCAGAGAGTGCTGGGATTACAGCATGTGCCACCACACCTGGCTAGGCTTTTATTTCTAGTATCTCCTGCACTTCATGAATGTACAGTCTTGGATCAGCAGTGTGAGCTTGTATCTTTATGGCTGGATTCACATTACTTCTTATCTTACCATCAATTTGCTGTTCTGGAAGAATGCTTGATCTTTGATCCAGACCTGTGCTAACCTGGCAGGGAAGTATTAGATACACTGAGTGAGACAGTGCAGAAGGAAAGCAGTGCTTTTCACACTCGAGTGTGCATCAGAGCACCTACCATAGATGTCCTGCCAGTGTGCAGACCGCTAGGCTCTGCTCCCAGCACTTCTGACTCAGTGAGTCTGGGCAGCCAATAGTTGACATCTCTAAGATGAAGCTGGGATCCAGGTCCATGTCTGCAGCCCACAGGGTGAGCCCTGGGGTACAGGAAGAATGTCCCAGAGGTCAGTGGCACTTGGCCAAGCAGCTGGCCCTTCCGTGCCACTTCCTTGTTTGTAAACTTGTACCTTACAGACCAGGTGCACATCTAAAGGTAGTAATTAGACACATTATTTAATAGCACTTTGTAAACTACAAAATGCAATGTGACTATTAATAGCTTAATGTTCCCCTTCAGTTTTAACTTACCTATAAAATGGGGGTGATAATAGTAATTTTTACAAAGATGAGGTGAGATGATCTACATAAAGCACATTGTGAAATATAAAGAACTACAGAATCTTGTTCTTCTAACTACCCTAAGCCTCAATTTCCTCATTCATGATGTGACAGGATGCCCAGCGGGCCCATCCCAGGTGCCAGCCCTGGTCACGTGGGAGCTCGTGGGTACAGATGTGGATCCTGCAAGCTTGTACTGGCAGGCTGGCTGCTGCTGCTCTGTGTACCCCCAGCCCCTTTGGTCAAAGGTGATGTGGGGCTACTGTCACCAGCTAGGATGTGCTGGCTGCACAAAAGAGCTCCCAGCTGAAGGTGACTCTAGTAATGTGGAGTTGGTTATCTCATCAAGCCGGAAATCCAGAGCAGGGTGGTTTGGGGTTGATGAATTCACTTGATGAGTAGACTCTGGCATTCTCTGCTTTCTCTTCCTGGTGACAGTCAAGGCCTAGGAAACACCGACCACCCAGACAGACTTCTGCTGTCCAGCAGGAGGGGGTGTGGGAAAGGCTGGAGGGGAGGCGGCCAAAAGTGTCTGCCAACCCCACTCCCTCTTTCCAGTGGGAATGGTGTCCTGTTGATAATGATCTGCGTATCGGGAGACCTCCCCGGTGATGGGCACATGGCAGGAACCCTGGGCGCTTGGGAGCCCTCCCAAGAGGACGCTGAGCTTCCTAGCGGCCAGAGCCCACATTCCCCTGCAAATCCGCTGTATCCGGTGGGGTGAGCAGGGTGTTGGGGTCATGCAATGCCCTGGCCCCTGAGGATTCACAAGTGAGCTTCGTCGTGTTTTCCCTGAGTGTGGTGCAGCTCTGGCACCTGCAGGAAGCCCTTGACCAGGACCCAAGGGCCAGGGCCAGAAGCTCAAAGGTCTTTGTTGTGGGATCGGCTTGCTGGCACCTGGGAAAGTTGCATCTGTAGGTGTCTGACTCATCCTCCTCTGGGAGAGCAGTGGATCCACCAGAGGGGTGGATTCAGGATTTCTGAAAAGCCCACCTGAGCTTCTTTCCCCCTGGGCCTGGGTGTGGCTCACAGCCCTGAGAACCCTCGGGGTGTCCCTAGAGCAGGCCTGTGCAGGACCCAGGAGGTGCAGGGCTGTGCGTTGCGGGCATGCTTGGCAGTGGTGACCTCCCTCAGGGAGTCCCTAGCCTCACCTCACTGGCAGGAACCAGGCAGCAAGTGCGAGGGCAAGTGGACCCCTTACCCTTCCGGTGCAGAGCTCCTACTGCAGGAGATGGGGCCGTGCTGCCCCACCGCTCTGCGCAATGCTCATTTGCGAAGCCCGAAAGTGGCCGTCAGAGCCTGGCGGGTGGGCGGGTGGTGCCCGGGCCACTGGGCTTCACAGCCGGCATCTCAGGTGTGTTGATGCCCAGCCAGCCTGCAGCATGTTAAAAATGAGGAGCCTGGAGTGCAGGGCCGAGGGGGTCTCACTGAAAAGCAGTCGCAGGTATCAAGCAGCAGAAAATAGTAAATGTTTGTGAGGATGCGGAGGACTGAAGCCCCCATGCTGTGGGTGGGAGTGAAAAGAGGTGGCCTCTGTGGACAACTATGTGGAGCATCCTCGAAAAGGCAACGAGACTCCCCATGAGTTCCAGCAATCAGCCTTCTGGGACTTGCCCCTGAGACGGCAAAGCATGGGCCGGGATAGATGTCTGCACTGTCATGTTCATGGCAGCGTAATAGCCCAACAGCCAAAGGTGGAAACCAGCCTCATGTCTGTGAAGGGAGGAGTGGGGATCCAAACATAGGCTTCCATGTATCACTCTGCCTCGGAGAGGAAGGAGCACAGACACCTGCCACAACATGGATGGACCCAGAGGACATCATGCAGTGACATAAGCCAGGGACAGGACAAACTCTGAGTGATTCTCTGGTATGAGGCCCTAGTGCAGGAAAACTGACAGAGACAAAAGGCAGCACCAGCACAGGGCCGGGGATTTAGCTCAGTGGTTCCACTGCCTGCCTCAAAAGCACAAGGACCCAAGTTCGATCCCCAGCACGGGAGCTGTTGGGGCAGGGAAGAGGCTGGGCGTTAGGGTGGGAGGGAGAGTCCCGGAGACGGATGACGTTCACCGAACAATCAAGCGGGAGTACTTGGTGCTTCCCAAATACTTTAAGATGGTGCATTTTGTTTTGATTACTATGATTTCAAAAACCAAAAAGACATTGGCAAGGCAGTGGCGGAGGAGGAGCCGGGCCACCGTGGAGTCTTCCTGGTGCTCGGCCAGCTGCACAGGGAGCGCTGCAGGCCTGGCTCTCCTCTGCCCCACTTCCTTGCAGCCCTGCCTGCATCTGCAGCTTGAGTCGCAGCTCCCTCCTGAGCTGCTGCGGACTCAGGGGGCTTCACTCTTCAGCCTCCGTTTCCTCCTCCCAGCACAGCAAGGGGAACCGGGTGGCCTGGGTGTCAGGCAGCTCCGCCCAGCCTTCCCACGGCCCCTGCTCTTCCTGTGCCACCAGGTCCTCGTCCCTGTCCCAGACCGGACCCCAGGCACCAAGAGGCAGGGACGGCTCTGTCTTGTTCTCTTGGGGCTGTGGACTTGGAGGGCCAGCGAGGGGACACAGAGTGGCCACAGTCACACCACTCCTCGCTTTTGGCCTGGCTGACCTGCCCATGGCAGTGACGTCCCACCCGCTTCTGCACCCCCGGGGCCCCGGCTAACCCGACAGCCGGTTCCTTTCTGTGGAGTGGGGTTTGGAGGACCTGGGTAGTGACCAAACCCCTGCTGATGAGCATCTATGTGGTATTGAGGACCAAAGTTTGGGAACCATAGAAGACTTCTTATAGAAGTGAATCTACATGTTCATATATGTCCTATTGTTTTAGGTTTCTTTCACATCTCCAAAAGAATTTAAAACATGGCAGAAATCTAAGAGTGTGAGGTCCGTGTGTGGGGTCACTGAAGTTGTGTCCAACCATCTTAAAATAAGTGGCCGTTAGTTCAAAATTCGGTCACGTGGTCGTCAGTGTTGTACACATGGAGGAGCCACTTGGCTGGGTTTCACCTCGACTGGAGCAGCAGTCCCTGGCCTCTCAGAGTTGTCATCCACACAGGAGGTACAGGGGACAGTAGGTGGCACCTGCTGGGTAGGGCTCTGTCACGGTGCAGTCAGAGCTGGCCCTGGCCGCCAGCTGCACGGCATCCTCAGGGAAAGTGGGAGTAAAGTACTCAGCCGCAGGTACTTTGTTAGAATGGTGGATAGAGCTTAGCCAGCCAGTGCAAGAGGTAGAGGCCTTGCTCTGGCTTTCCTGATGGAAAGATCTAGAGCACTGAACAGATTAGCCAAGGGCCAGAGAGGGAATGGGCTGCTTCCCAGGCCTCTGTCCACGCATGCTTTGGCTTCACCTTGACCTGTCACTGTCAGCCAGCACATTCTGGCCATGGTTAAGGGCAGGGGGTGGCCTGGGGTGGACAAAGCAACCCAGGGCAGCTGTGGCCTGAAAGCTGTGGCTCTTGGGATTGGTGGACTCCTCAGGGACCCTGGTTCATCTATGTCACTTTTGGGAGAAGAAACGGAAGTTTAGATGCATCTTTAGATGCAGTCCCTGGGGCCATGAGGACCAGCACCTGGGTCACTGGGTCCAGCCCTGAGTAGCCAGCCCTATGGCGCCAGTGCCTGGTCCCTTCCCGGAGCTGGGCCAAGCTGGGCAGCAGCCGGGAGCACAACGCCAGCTTCCCCAAAGGCAGGACCGGGCTGATGCTCTCAGGACCCAACCTGGCCTTCGTCACATCCCAGCCTCTCCCTGCCAGTGCACACCCTGGTAACAGGCACTGGAAACCTTCTGCTCACTGGCCCCATCTCCTGGCCTCCCTCCACCCACCCTGGCCACATCTGCCAGTGTGAGACAGACTGAGCCCAGTTTTAGGGTGCTGGCTTTGTAACTTGGTTTCTGGTAACATCCAGGTGCTTCTACCTTCTGAATTTTCATGCATCTATCAACGTGTTCCTGGAGCCAGGTGCCTTGCTACACACCACTACCTGCTCAGGTGACAGGAGCGAGTGAGCCCCCAGGTGAGAAAAGAGTGATTCTCCAGCCCTCACGTTGGGGCGCTAGCAACACCGAGACCTTCTGGGTGCAGGGGTTGGGTTTCCATCTGGCAGGGGCCAGCCTTCTCCAGACTCTGCTACCAGGCAAAGGGGAAGACAGCTGCTGCTGCTGCTGCTGCTGCTCCTCCTCCTCCTCCTCCTCCTCTGATGCTGCTCAAGCATCGAGCATCCCCTCACCACAAGGATGCATAGCCCCATCCATATCCCTCCCACCCCACTCCCTCTGTAGCCTCTGGCACCCACTAACCCATCCTCCTTTCCTATGGTTTTGCCCGTTCCAGAATGTTGTGTAAACAGAATGGCAGAGCACGTAACATTTTGTGTCCACTGCGTGGTGCGTGTCTTCAGCTTGCTCCTGTTTCCTGCTGACTCGCATTCCGTGGTGTCTAGGACCTACCCTTTGCTCAAGCTCCCATTCTCCTTAGCAGGACCTCTGACGTTTCCAGTCCCTGGCAGGAAAGCTGCTCCGAGTTCTTGTGTCCAGTTTTTTTTTTGTGTGTGTGTGTGTGTGTGTGTGTGTGTGTGTGTGTAACCTGAGTCTTTCATAATAGAAAAACATCTTAGTATTTCATGAAGTACGAATTCTGTTAGCTGAAAAGTTTCCTTAGGTAAGGGGTTCACTCTGGGATTATTAGGGTACGCAAGGCTCCCTGTCAGGAGGTGCTGCTGCTAAGATAAGAGAACAGAGTGAAGCCATTTGGATCATGCAGCTCTACTTCCTGGGCTCCCGTCTATCTCCCTCCAGTCTAAAATCTCCCGGCCTGCCAGTTTTTAAACTTTCTTTCCTGCCATGGGTATTGTTCCCAGTTGGATTAATTTTTGATGATATTTTGGAGTAGAATAAAGTAGAACCAAAAGGCAAACAAACAAGCAACCTGACCACTCTCTTTTGGACCCCTACAATAAACACATCCCAGGAAACATTCCCCCAGTGCCTTCCCCTTAAGGAGGAAAGCTTCTCAGGGCCTTTGCTAGTGCTGTACCTTCTACTGCACATGCTTTTCATTCCATGTTGGCCAAGTTCAATGCCATTCATTTGTCAGATTTGCTGTGTGGGGATCTGGTCACAAAGGCAATCTAAGAAGAGTTGGGTCACGTTTTCTCTGAGATCATGAACGAGGCTCACGCTAGGGTGCTCCAATAACACAGCATTAGCTACGTGTTTAACACAGCAAGAGGCAAAGGGGAAGAGGAGGACATGTTCACACAGTCAGCCCAGAAGCACGTTACTGCAGCACTGGGTGGTACAATGCTTGGATTTCCCTCTCAGATGCATGGAGGCACGAACCTTTCCCAGCAGGGTGGGGTGGCAGGGGCCAGACTGAGGGGGAGCACAGGGCCTCCACTGAAGACAGCTGCTGCTCTCTCAGAGCAGAGTGAAGTCTCTGACCCACGGCCCAGCTCCTGCTGTACCATTAATTTGCTAAGCAGCTAATGGGCTCCCTTTGTCCCCTCTCCTTTGTCCTCAGCTCTGGTCCCAACAACTCCAGCTCTCCAACAATTTCAGTAAAGAAAAAAGGGAGAGAATCTAGGATTGCAGTTCTCCCTTTAGTGGTTTTTTGCAAGTGCAAGTGACTCCAATTCCTGCTTTAGCCCTCAGCCTCCGTGGGGAGCAGCTGTTGGTGCTTCTGAGTCTACTTCTATCGTCAAGGTCAACCCGACTGGTTTCCTTTCTCGGGGGCCCTCGGTGGGGTCACAGGGCCTGCAAACACACCAGGATGGGAGTCTTTTTGCGTGGGTGAATGTAGCCAGCAGTGCCTGGTTCATGCACGTCTCGGTGCAAATCAGACCTGCAACTCCCAGAACAGGAGCCTCGCTGCATGGGGTCAGCGGGCATTAGCAGTTGTCCTTTCTCCTGTGGACTTAGGCCATGTTCCTTGGGGTGGATGCACCTGCCCAAGGCTCCCCTGTGCAGCCCACCACCTCCCACCATCATCCGCTCGGGGCTGCAAGCAGGAGGGTGAGGCTGTCCCAGGATCCAGCTCCTTATCGGGAGGATACAGAGCTCTGAAAATCCCCCACCCCCAGAGTCCCTGCTTCCTTTTGGATCTCAGAGCATCTTTTGATCTTGAGCCTAATCCCTTCTTCCTCTCCCTCTTCCTACTCCCCCCTCCCCTTTCCTCATCCCCACCGACTTAGGGAAATAAACTCCGGTGTGGGAGATAAGTCACCACATATAACAGCCGCATTAACTCCTTCTTGGCAGAGAAGCTCAACCTGCTGCCCCTAGCAACCCCTTGGCTGCATCCCGCAGCTGCCAGTGTGCGTGGGTCTTCTTAACTCTGTTTCCGTTGCTAAGTTTACCCCTCT